TTAAAGCCCTAGAAGCACGTACACTGCCGCCTCATTGAGAAGAGCATCTACACTCTGATTCCCTTGCTTGCAGATATCAGGTAATCCTTACACAAGTCGTCTCCTTGATTAAGCCCATGTTACCTGAGCAAACTGTAGACGCCTACCTCTGATCGCATGCGGCATCTTAAGTGGATTTCTAGTACATTTAGGCTATAATGCTCAATTTCTGTGCCAGTTTGCTTATCCGTCTGCCCAGCTCACTCACTGCTAGGCCCCCAAAGTTGTAATGGTTTATTCGAAAAAGCCATCACTCACTGGCAACGTCTTCGCTTGATTGCCGAAATCCACTGCTCCCCATTTTTCTCATTGCGATCCCTTTTCCTCCGGTTAGCGATATAGATCCTTGATCCAGTCGTCTCCTCTTTGTCGGTATTGTTCTATTATTGTTTTTCCCGAATTTACTTAAGCAGTAGGCAAAGTTATCGTTAACTCTACCTTCCTACAATCTCCTGTTGATTAATTTTTTCTCCCAAAGGATGTCAACGGCCTCCTTAATCTTCCGCTTCCTTGTTTGTCACCGTCTGGTGCCAATACACAGTAACAGATTTGCCAGGATACGCAAGACTCTGGAAACAAATGAACAATTAGTCCTTTAGACGGATAAAGTAGGAGCCACAGTGATAATCAACAAAAACAATATACTGAGAAGGTTTGATGACCAAGATGGTATCGTTTTTGTGTGTTCGCAGTCTCTTTTCGTTGTATAGAGGCTGTTTGACCTTGTTTTCGCAACTTGGTCATATTGGTAGGAAGACTTAGACGAACGTACCTAGTCTGGAGTCTATTGTATGCATGATAATTTCCAGTCGAACCGTGGACGTGGTACACTCCCAGACGTTTCGCCGGCATGACCAGTGAGTCTCGCCAGTCTTAGCACCACACAACAACTCGTCAAAGAGAGAAGTGAAGCGGATCCTTTGGTCTTGAGAAATAGCGCCTGGAGTGAAACGCACACTGGGAATGCAACCGAGTGAAATCGGTCAACCAGAAAGATAAGGAACGGATCTAAGGGACCATGAAGGGGATTCGTATTGTAGGCCCGAGTCGGATCAGCCGATCGAAAGCGACGGGGTCAGGGTGAATAGCAGGTGTGATGAGGCCACACTAGATTTGCCATAAAAGGGCACACATTTTGACGAGTGAAATATAAACAAACGAGAAGTTGTGATGGGGCGGGAGTTGGATAAGAGGGTAAAGAGTAGATAGATAGGCCAGGACAGAAATAGGAGTGATAGTGTAACCGTTTTCTGCAGAACGTTTGTCGAGGGATTGGCTTCACTTGTCTCTTTGACGAGTTCGTAGCTTGGTGCAGAGAATGGCAAAACTCACTGATGATGCCGGCAAAACGTTTCAGAATATACCAAGTCCATTTATCTGATGCTGGAAATTATGCCAACTACTATCGCAGACGACTTCGGACTAGGTGTTTTATACTAAGTCGCCCTGATAACAAGACCAAGTTGCGACAACGAGGTCAACCCACTTCTATAAATCGAAAGGACACTGCGACCATACCAAAGGCCACACCATCTTGGTCTTCATATCTTCAATTCTTTTAACCTTAAGGCTTTATTTTTTTTAACAGATTATTCTCTTTCTCTTATGCCACATTCTTTCGAATAAATTAATGAAGCTAATATGATGTGACACTTGTTAACTTTTAATTTAATTTACACCTATTTTTTATGTACTAATGCGACTTCTTGCACTAATATTGGAGACCAAAATATTCTGTATATTATTGATTGAATACTCGCCATCATTTTTTAATATTAGAGAAAGATATAATGTTTAAATATCTTTTTTGTAATTATGATGAATTCCGGCTACTTGAGCCCTTGATTAATCGATTTAATTGTCTATTTAAGACAAATATTAGTATAACTTTCATTTGGTTTGAGAACGCGGATGGAAGGGGTTCGTAGATTGGCTTCATCGGATACCGAAAGAAGGTTGTTCTGGACTTGTTTTTATTGAATTGTGCAAATAAGTTCTTGGCTAACCGTCCTGCTATCCCGATGACTCTTGCTGAGCATTCTTTTATCATGTGACGGACATCGTCAGAGCCAGAAACTATTATTTAAAAATAAACACCAAAAAACACTAAACCAAGATAGGTGGTCAGCTGAAATTCTCCTTATTACTTATACCTTACTTTGCTATCTTAATGAGGTATTCTATGAAGATTCTCTAAAAGAATGCATGATCAAGTATAGCGTTAGTATTTCTTTATGCATAGTCCTGACGTTCCATTTCTTCAGTCTTATGCCAAAATTGTCTATTTTATAATAATTTCCATTTTTCCATTTTTGTCATGGACTTAAAGCTGTACTATAAGAACTTTTGTTTGTGGTAACAAATCCGAAAATAGAGAAAAGCTTTAGCCCTCTAAATTTTTTTCTTTATTTTTAAATATACTTTAAATATGATTCAATTTTTCATTTTGATGTATATTGTGATTATAAGGAATTTGTGAGTTTGCTTTTTATTAAACCGAAGGAGGATTGCCTTCGAGCAGAGAACGTTGGATCGTGCTTAGAAATTATCTGCTCATCGTCTTACGACCCCGATAAATCCGTGCCAAGCTTTTCATGTCATATGACATATATTGTCTTAGCGAAAAAGAATCATTTACGAAATCTCGCACTAATTAAATTTATCTCACACAGTATGGTGAGCCTAGGAATTCTTAGCATAACACAACGTCCTCTATTTTATTACAAACCCTACTAATTTCCCTTAACTCGTTATCTTCTTTATGCCACTTTTAATTTCTGGTGAGGCCATTTTACAAATCTATTCCAAACAACTTTTCCTTCAAAAAGTCTCAGCAACCTATTAAGAAGTTCCTAATATTTATGTGAATAGTATTAAAATATGAAGTTGTGAGGTATATTTTTGGCAGTCATTGATAATATTAGCAACAGTGATGATAAAACTTTGCTAGTGTCGGTCTTACTAAGCTTGATTATACCTCCCTTGCTTCTTACTATTGTTTTCCATCTTTACCTTATTCATTATCACCAGATTTTCACTTTTTGCCTTCCACTTTCTATTCGGCTTTTCTCCAGGTGCCACTCGTTCTGTGGAATCTGCTGTGCTATACCTCTCTCAACTAGGCAAATCAAGTCTGGCTGCTAGTCTGTTTTTAGCCTATCGTTCTGGTCTATTAGATCAGGCATCATCACGCGACGTTCGTCAAGAGGGAAGTCAGCTTATTTATCTTGGCCGGCTAAGTCTTGCTTTTCATCAGGGCCTGCTGGAAGCTGCAGCCGACTGGTATTGGACCGTGGTCTGGCAGACTGCCCTCTGGCACCAGACTCGAATGCGTCAGTTGGCGAATCCAACCTCACCCTATGATGACAGGTTGTCCTTTATTGAACTGCTTAAAAGTCGTAGAAAGTCAATTAACATGTCTGAAACGGCGCGCACCAGAAAACCAATTGGCCAATACCCGCGGACTGATGTCTATGCCAGGATCAAGGCTATCACTCAGTCAAGTAAATTTTAATTTAGAATTGGCAAAAGCAACTAACTTCCCTAGACTCCTTATCAACTCCCTTCTATATTAAAAAACATGCCTTACAAAGAATACTAATTATAGGAATGCTCACTTTAAAATCATTTTGGTGTTCCAAGGCTATTAAGAAAATACCAGACGGTGTTTATAATGACAATGTCTTCTTATTATGGATCTTGGGCTTCCAGTCATTATATAATTGCCTTGGATTATCATGACAACCTACGCTGGCATGAAATTATATGTGATATAACTACTTAAATTTATATTGTTGGCTCGATCTCGGTTTTGTAATTTGGTAGGAGCATCAGCGAGACCTGGATTTTAACTAATCCCATGTCCTCTGTCATAGTATTCGTGATTTCCAGTATTATACCGTTGACTTGATACATTCCCAAGCCCGTTTACCTATTCACATAATTCTGTGCTCTCATTTCCTCCATTATCGCCTAAGATTGCCTCGCTACAAGTGAGTCTAGTGAAGATTAATCATCTTCATCACCAGTTCCAGGTGCCGTTTGTAGGTCTCCTAACTTTCATTCTGACCCCTTTATACTCATTTTGTCTATTTCTCTCTGGTAAACATCATCGGAGGAAACGAGAGCACAGAATTGTGTGAATAAGTGGATGGACCATATTAAGTGGGGTTGGGAGAATGAGAAGCGGCACTAGAAGATAGAACAAAAAACAAAGGCGAGGAGTGATGCCTCAACGGCTGAACAGAAAGTTGCCCTTCACTTTGGTAAGTTGTAACTCTGTGCTTACGATGGTGCCTCTCACTGGCGATGTTGACTATGATGCCGGCGAATGGTTTGGGAATGTACCAAGTCAATGTTCCAATACTGGAAATCATGAATACTATGGCAGAGGACACGGGACTTGGCACGTTCCACAAGGTCTTCCTGACGCTTCGACCAAGTTTCAAAAACAAGGTCGAACCAACACTATAAAGCTAAAATAGACTGCGACCAAATAGAAGATTACACTATCCTGGATTCATATTTAGAAATGTAATTTGTGGTTAGAAAAATCTGCATTATTTTCTCCATTAATATCTTCGTTTTTGATTAACCACTCTATTTGAGAATTGATAAGAGCCTAGCTTGTCCTGCGAATTCGAACTATGTAACTGAATTGTCTACTAGAAGGTTTATACCAAGATGGCATCGCCTTTTGTATTGTCGCGGTCTTCTTTCCTTGTAGAGAAGTTGTTTGACCTTGTTTTCGCAACTTGGTCATATTGGTAGGAAGACCTGTGGAACGCACCTAGTCCGGAGTCTAGCATGCATAATACTGTCCAGAGTTTAACCATAGACGTAGCATATTCCAAGACATTTCGCCGGCACTGTCAGTGAGCCTTGCCATGCTTAGCACCGAACTACCGTTCGTCAAAGAGGCAAGTGAAGTCGATCCTCTGACCAATAGTCTGCTAAACAATTGTGGTATCTTTCCTGGGCTATTCACCTATCCTATATCCTCGTAGCACCCTTTCGCTATCATAATTTCTTAATTGCTTATTTAAATGTGGTATGGTGTGCCCTTTGAGCGGATTTCATGAGACCTCTTCACGCCCCACGCCCCTATCATTGTGCTGCGAACGTTGATCTGAGTCTGCCATATTAGTCCGCAGTCCTCTTCCGATAGGTCCTATCAGAGTCTCCCTCTTGCCCCGTAGGATCCGTCTGCAACTTCCCTGGTTCAAGTATTTCACTCGACCCCTGCCACTATCTGTGCTACTCGAAGCGTTATTTCCAACACTCTGCTTCTGGAAGGCTAAATTTAGACTAAAGATACCGAGTAATTCTCATGTTCAAGCCTTTTGTTCATGGACCATATCTATTATCAAAGATGTATACTTTTAGCCACTTAACTCTTGTCTCCGCTGCATTTATCGGGCTTCTATCAATAGTACCAAGTCTTTGACTTCCTATGCCATAGTCTCTTGTATGCCAACCTACAAGTGTTGTGGTTCCACTTGTTTTGATTAGATTCAATGTATAACCACAACATTTGTGGGTTGGCACACAACAGACTTGGGCATAGGAGGTCATAGATTTGGTATTATGAAGAGGAACAGGATAGATTCGGTGAAGACTAGAGCTAGTTGGCTAACAATAGACATACTTTATAGACCACGTCTTTGATCAAACAAGTGGCTAACAGTAGCCGTATTTTATCATAGACGAGGTCCATGAAACACCGGCTTGACCATGATAATTGCTCGGGCTCTTTAACCTCAAATTCAGAGTTTAACCTATTTTAAAAAATACTTTTTGATTACTTTACACTCATCCTTGTTAGGAAGTATGTTACTATATTCTATTTAGCATTTTACTTCCACCTCTAAAGCTAATGTTTTAATTTCTTATTGCCTGCAGAAATTGATTTATATTACCTAACCTAAATTTGAATGGCAGCCCGAATTATACGTCTCTCTTGATCTTACATTCTCATCTTGTTGGAAACTTTTATTTGCCTCATATTTTGACTAGCTTATTTTTTTCTTTATTTGTGAATTTACGCTCTTCCGATAATTGGGGCTCGAACTCCTCTGGCTTGTCCATTCTTACTCTTGATGTACTTCAGTTTTTTATTTCGGTTTATGACTTTAAACTATTTTTTTATAAACCTTATTGCTTCTACATCAGAAATAGAGCTACTTTTGTCCTTTACCTCTGATGTAGCCTGCCAGAAAGAGTCGGTAGCATTTTATAAAATTGAAATTGCTAGAATTAGTATACTTCGGTCCCACAGTTAATTGTTTTATTATGAAGCAAAATCCCTTCATAATTTCATGTCATTATAAATGTTATATTTAGTGTGTAAAATTGCTCGTAAGGATTTCGCAAATTGGCTGTACTGAAAACCGGAGGATTGCTTGGGAGGCATGATTGTCTATGTAACATTTACTTTTGATAAAAATTATCAAAAAAGCAAAACTTTTAAACAGGATCAATGACTTTAAAATTAAATAATAATTACCTATAACCGATAGAGTAGAGAAAGAATAGAATGAGCCATCAAAGAGAAAGCCCGATTAGTCTAGAATCTGGTCTAGGTTGGCCCATTATTATGTCATAGACTCATACACAACACATGAATACACTCCAGAGCACTTGTAAGGACATTTCTGGATTAAACT